GGTGTTTGTGGTTGTTGTGGTTGCGATTGTAGTTGTGGTTGGTTGTGTTGCTGATGTTGTTGCTGCTGTTGTTGTTGTTGAGCTCTCATTTCTGAAGAATTATTGCTGATCACCCCCGTCCGGTGCACAGTGCTTTTTTTTCGATTGAAGTGCCCTTCCCGGGGCTCGCACCATGTTTTTTAAAGGGAAAGTCTTAAGGGTCAAATTGGCCCCCGGTTTACAGCAACAACGGCTCCCGCCTGATAATTCCTCACAGATTATTGAAAAATCGCGCTCTCGCTCGGGACTTCATTGCAGTTTACCACTGAATCGCGGCTCCCGCCTGATACTTCTTCACAATCTATCCAGATGCCGCTCTTCGACACTCCGGAATCGCGCTCCCGCTACATATTGCCTGGCGGTTCAAGCAGAATTTACGCTTCAACGACCCGCCCGCTCGGCCCGCCCGTCTGGGCCTGCCCACCCGACCAGCCCGTTAGGGACTGCAGTCGCCGCTCGCTGCCCTTCGCCCGCCTTCGATGCCCCTCGCTGCCCGTACTGGTTCCGCGGTCGCCTTCGCTCGCTGCCCTTCGTGGCCCCGTTGCTGCCCTCAGTGGCCCCGTCGCTGCACATTGTGGCCCCGCATTATATACCCTTCGTGGCCCCCGCTCGCAGTCGCCCGTCGTGGCCCCATACGCATGCCCTTCGTAGCCCCGCTGTCGCCCTTCGTGGCCCTCTCGCTGCCCTTCGTGGCTCCTTTGCTGCCCTCAGTGGCCCCGCTGTCGCCCTTCGTGGCCCCATATACGAATGCCCTTCGTGGCCCCCGCTCGTTCGCGCCCGTCGTGGCCCCATATGCATGCCCTTCGTGGCCCCGCTGTCGCCCTTCGTGGCCCCCTCTCTGCCCTTCGTGGCCCCGTTTCACCAACCACACGTGGCAGGGAATGAATATACCTCTAAAAAGGCGGTACGATCGAAGACGAAGAGGGCGGGTATCCAGGGTTTGGGATACGCATATTAAATGACACGCGAGCAGATAAGAGCGATCAGTCTTAAAATGACTGTTGTTGTTGTTGTTGTTGGTGGTGGTGTTGTTGTTGTTGGTGTTGTTGTTGTTGTTGTTGTTGTTGTTGTTGTTGTTGTTGTTGTCGTGGTTGGTTTTGTTGCGCTTATGGTTTTTGATTGTTGTCGTTGTTGTTGTTGTTGTTGTTGTTGTTGTTGTTGTGGTTGTGGTTGTGGTTGTGAATATTGTTGCTGTTGTTGCTGTTGGTTTTGTTGCTGTTGTTGCTGTTGTTGTTGGTGGTGCTCTTGTTTCATCGGTATTATCCAGTGGTGCGTAACGGTCGTTATCCAGGCCAAGCCCGCCCCCCCACCCAGCGGGGCAACTGGGTAGCAGAAGGATTCCCGTCCTCCTCCTCCCCCTCCTCCTCCTCTTCCTCCTCCTCCTCCTCCGGTCAACGGTAACGATCGTGCGTATGGGGCGGGACCTGGACCCCCCCCCCACATGCTGGTGCCTGCGGGCGTGCTGTGGCGGTCGCAACGCTTCCCCGCCCCGACGTGCCCCGAGGAGGAGGCCAGGGAGGAGAAGACGGAAGAGGGAGCAGGACGAGGGAGCGGGAAGAGGGAGCAGCGCGAAGGATGAGTAGGAGGGAGGCCCCCCAGTCTCATGTTCTAGACGCTTCGCGTAACCCCACCTGTGGTCTTACCGCCCTCTGGACTTCTCCTTGCGGGCCGCGAATCAAAAAAGTAACCCCACCTGCCTGATCTGGCTCCGACTGCGACGCCAGCGCCGACGACGGAGCAGACGGCGACGCCTAATCCGACTCCGACTGCGACGCCAGCACCGACGACGGAGCCGACTGCGACGCCTGATCCGGCTTCGACTGCGACGCCAGCGCCGACGACGGAGCCGACGGCGACGCCCAAACCGACTCCGACATGCTCAGTCTGCGTGTCGCAGGGGCTCGTGTGCGGAGACGACGGCTGCGGTGACTCGTGCGGCCAGTGCTCGTCGCCAGAGTACTGCACGGGCCCGAGGTTGATCCGGCCACCGCGTGGCAGGCGTCTGGGCCCTCACCCAGCGCCTGGGTTGTGGTCGCTCCCCCCCTCTCCTCCTGCTCCTCCTCCTTCCCCCGCTCTTCATTCACCAGTTTCTGCGGCTCTTGGCTGCGCCCCCAAGTGAAGTGTGCTATGGTTGAGGATGTGCTTCCGCCTTGGTCCAGTCCAAGCGTGGATGCCCAGGGCACTGCGGTAGTGCCCAGCGGCACCAGGATGCACCCCCCATGTTCAATCACATGTCTCTGCGGCTGTTGGCTGCGCCCCCAGCTCTGTGAAGGGACATCGTGACAGGTGAGCTGACAGCGTCGACCACCCCAGCGGGTCACACACTGGCCTGGAATCTGGCTTCCGGCGACGTGCCAGCGGACAGGTGGGTGCTCATCCCGGCGCACTGGGCCGACTGCCTGATCCGGCTCCGACTGCGACGCCAGCGCCGACGACGGAGCAGACGGCGACGCCTAATCCGACTCCGACTGCGACGCCAGCGCCGACGGCGAAGCCGACTGCGACGCCTGATCCGGCTTCGACTGCGACGCCAGCGCCGACGACGGAGCCGACGGCGACGCCCAATCCAACTCCGACATGCTCAGTCCGCGTGTCGCAGGGGCTCGTGTGCGGAGTTGACGGATGCGGTTACTCGTGCGGCCAGTGCCCGTCGCCAGAGTACTGCACGGGCAACCTGTTTCTGCGGCTCTTGGCTGCGCCCCCAACGAAGTGTGCCTTGGCTGGGAATGTGACAGTGCTTTGGTCGAGTCCAAGCGTGGAGGCCCTGGGCAAGGTTGTCGTGCCACGGCACTTGGTTGCACCCCCCACCTTCATTCACAAGTCTCTGCGGCTCTTGGCTGCGCCCCCAGCGTTGTGAAGGGACATCATGACAGGGGAGCTGACAGTTTCAGCCACCCCTGTGGGTCACTATGGCCCTCAGCGAAGTGTGCCTTGGTTGAGGACGTGCCAGTGCCGTGGCACGGTCCACGCGTGGAGGCCCTGGGCATGGCTGTCGTGCCAACGGCATTTGGTTGCACCCGCCACGTTCATTCACAAGTCTCTGCGGCTCTTGGCTGCGCCCCCAGCGTTGTGAAGGGACATCAAGACTGGGGAGCCGACAGGTTCAGCCACCCCAGCGGGTCACAATGGCCCAGAATCTCGCTTCCAGCCGTGCCAGCAGTCAATTGGGCTCTCATCACGTCGCACAGGGCCCGCCTGCGCTAGACACCACAGCAGTGGTTTCCCCCAGACTCCCTGGTCGGACATGACGTGGTGCATCGGCTGGTCGCCAGCTGAGCACGCTGTCGTGAGGACGCGTGGGAGTGGTTTCCACCCCTCCCCGTGGTCACCGCCACAGTGGCCAGCGGGCCACCCGCACCTGCGGGACTGGCCCACATGGTACGTTTCAGGGCGCTACAGGGGCTGGGCATCGGTAAGGTGAAGACTGGCGCACCCCACCCGCGTCTGGTACCACCCGATGTCGGGCCTGGCATGGGCGTGTGCCTGCACAAGTGGTTCATCCTTTGGCAGGTCACCGCGGTTCCCCCGGCTGGTCCTTCGTACAGGTCCCCCGGTCAACGCTTGCAACTTTGTGCTCCCGATCTTCCGTGTCGGATAAGTTGCACGCGGTGGACACCGGAGGCTTCGACGTCATATTCTATTCGCTGACTGGTATCGTCGCTCTCGCGTTCGAGCTCCCGCACAAGTGGTTCATCCTTTGGCAGGTCATCGCGGTTCCCCCGGCTGGTCCCTCGTTCAGGTGCCTCGTCCAGCGCTTGCAACTTTGCGCCCCCGATCTTCCGTGTCGGACAAGTTGCATGCTGTGGGCACAGGTGGCGTTGACGACAGGTCCGCTGACTGGGTACCAGTCGCTCTCACGTCCAAGAGCGGCAGACTTGTCGTCTACAGCAGTCAGTCACCGCGAGTGAGGCTACTCTCAGTGCTTTTCCCCCTTTTCCTGCCGCCGGGTGCCCTTCTGGCGTTCGCTGTGTCTCTCCTGTTCCCTCTTGCCTCACCTACATTGTGCATGGACGGAGCTGGCCACGCCTGGCCACCCCGTGCCACTACAGCGCGGCGTGCTTCACGCCTTTTCGTGCTGTGCGGTTCGGCTGGAGCTTGGCGCCGTGTGTGCGACTGCTCCTATCCGTCCGCTTCCGGTACCGTGCTCGCGTCCCCATCCGCTGGGCCGCCTGCGTCGGTCCCCAATGAGGGTCACTTTGTCCCTGGCATGTGCACTCGCTACAGCGGCCTATGCGCCTCTGCAGCCAATTATCTCGCTCTGTGGCCCAGACGTTATCCCCGCTCGCTGGATCTGTCCTTCGAGCCGCCGAACGAAAAAATAACCCCACCCGCCCATCCAGAAACGATGCCCAGACAAGTGGCCTTGATCAGGGATGTGGTGCAGGAGCATGTGGTGGAATGAAGGGCTGGGTAAGACGCCATACTCCAAGAGTGGTTGGAGGATGTAGGGGGAATCGGAGGATCAGGAGGAGGAGTGGGAGGAGGAGGAAAAGGAGGAGGAGGAAGAGGAGGAGGGGGAGGAGGAGGCAGGAGATCGATCAAAGAAGGGGGTTCCTTAAGTTGAACACCACCCCCAGGAGGCCAACGTGTGGCCAAGAATTTAGTAACATAACTGATGTTGGCCTTCTCCTCCTCCTTCCCGTCCTCCCTCTCTCCTCCTCCTTGTCCTCCTCCTTGCCGTCCTCCTCCTCCCTCCCTCCCCCGCCTCCCTCCCTTTCCCGGACAAGGGGTGCTCGAGTGGGTCGTGCCTGGGTTCCACGTCAGCCGTTGCCAGGGCCAGGTTCCTTCGTTAAGGATTGGCCCCGTGGCCGACGAGGAGGACGAGGACGCGGAGAAGGCGGAGGAGGAAAAGGTTGGGCAGGATGATGAGGAGGATGAGGAGGATGAGGAGGAGGAGGGGGAGGTGGAGGAGGAGGAGGACGCGCTCACCCTCCCCCGCTTCTGGTCCTCCGGTGTCCCAGGCGCCCGCGCCTGGCAAATTGCTCTCCTGCGGGGGCGCCGTCCGCGTGGTGAAGGGGGACAGGGCCCGGCGAGCCGTCGCCGCCTCGGGAGGGAGGGAGGGGGAGGGAGGAGGGAGGAGTGAGGAGGGAGGATAGAGAAGGGGGAGGAGGGAGGATGGTGAGGAGGAGGAGGAGGCGGATTATGATGATGATGATGATGATGATGATGATGATGATGATGATGATGAGGATGAGGATGAGGATGAGGATGAGGATGATGATGATGATGATGATGATGATGATGATGATCATGGTGCTGCTGCTGATGATGATTATGATGATGATGATGATGATGATGATGATGATGATGATACTGATAATGATGATACTGATGATGATGCTGATGCTGATAGTACTGCTGATTATGATGCTGATGGTGATGCTGCTGATGATGATGATGCTGATGATGATGATGATAACGGTGATGGTGATCATGATGGTAGTGGTGATGATAATGATTATGGTGATGGTGATGGTGGTGATGCTGATGATGACGATGATGCTGCTGTTGCTGATGATGCTGCTGATGATGCTGATGATGGTGCCGATGATGGCGGTGATGATGATGTTGATGATGGTTATGCTGCTGATGATGATAATTCTGATGATGCTGATGATACTGACGACGCTGATGATGCTGCTACTGATGATGACGCTGATTATGATTATGATGATGATGCTGATGATGATGCTTATGATGATGATGCTGGTGGTGATGATGATGGTCCTGATGCTGATGATAATAATGATGGTGCTGATGATGCTGATGATGCTGCTGATGAGGAAGATGGCGGTGGTGCTGCTGCTGATCATGATGATGATGCTGATGATGTTGATGATGATGATGCTGCTGCTGCTGATGATGATGATGATGATGATGATGATGATGATGTGTGGATGATGATGATGATGATGATGATGATGATAATGATGATGATGCTGATGGTGATGATGATGATGCTGCTGCTGATGATGATGATGATGATGATGATGCTGATGATCATGATGATGATGATGATGATGATGATCATGATGCTGCTGATGGTGACGCTGATGATAATGCTGATGCTGTGATGATACTATGATGCTGCTGATGGTGCTGCTGATGATCATGATGCTGCTGATGGTGACGCTGATGATGAGACTGATGATGACGATGAGGAGGAGGATGAGGAGGAGGAGGAGAAGGAGGAGGAGGAGGAGGAGAAGGAGGAGGACGAGGACGAGGAGGAGAGGGAGGAGGAGGAGAAGGAGGAGGAGGAGGAGGAGGAGGAGGAGGAGGAGGGAGGAGGAGGAGGAGGAAGGAGGAGGAGGAGGAGGAGGAGGAGGAGGAGGAGGAGGAGGAGGAGGAGGAGGAGGAGGGAGGAGGAGGAGGAGGAGGAGGAGGAGGAGGAGGAGGAGCAGGAGGAGGAGGTAGGAGGAGAGGAGAGGAGGAGGAGGAGGAGGAGGAGGAGGGAGGATTAGGAGGGGGAGGAGGAGAAGGAGAAGGAGGCGGAGGAGGAGGAGGAGGAGGAGGATAAGGAGGACGAGGAGGGGGAGGCGGAGGAGGAGCAGGAGCTCGGCATCGGCTGGGAAGGTGCCACCACATTCGCATGCTGCAGGCGAGTTAGGGGTCAAGGTCTTCGGGGGCGGCACAACCTGCTGACGGCGCTCACTCGCACGAGCTCCGAGAGACTCATCCTCCTCCCGAGAGCTGAACCCAAACAGTGCAAGGCCACGCTGAAGGTCGACCCCAGCCAGGACAGTTCCTCCTCTCCTGGCGAAGCGTCCAGAGAAGCTCTGGAGCGCGGCTGAACGAGCTAGGGCGGGTCGTCCAGACCCATCTTGCATACGAGGTATTCCCGAGCAGGTTCCGACAATACGGTGGCCCGAGCAATTCCGAAGCGTTTCTTGGGAGGATGGCGGCCCTGCAAAATCCAGGCCAGCTGTCTCTCTTGCCCAGACGGGCGGTGCCCAACGCAGTCCTGAGCCAGAGCGGCCTTACCTCCATGCCCACCTATATACAACACAAACGGAAACACAGGTGGTGCAGAAGGCGAGCGGGCCCTTGGGATTCCCAGCGGCGTCAGTCACAGCAGCCTCAATGATGGCGTGGCCTCGAGCAGGCCGCATTCAACATCCCGCAGGGTGCACTGGGCAGGCACCTTATGCCACGAAGCCTCTTCGAGCTTGTCAAAAAACGTGCTGCCACATGTGAGATCGAGCATCATCTGGGTTCACGGTGGCAAGCGGGTCAGCAACAAATCCCAGGGTGCCGCCACAATCGTCATACAGTTTGGCCCCAGGGAGAACGGAAGCATGACGCACCAGAGAACCCACCGCAAAGTCCTCGCCATCACGGGCGACCTGAGCAGGGGCAATATTGAGAGGCACGCGCCCCCACGTAGCACGAACCATCCCCCACCCTTCCGCAACAATCACCGCTCATCCCGTTGGTCTGATTCTAGGGAGAGCAGGCTCATAGCACGAACCGTCGCCAAGAATGTGAGAGCCTTCTCCGAACACCAGCCCCCATACAGCGCCGCGGACAAGGGTAGCACGTGTACGTGCCGCGTCTACAGCGCTACAGACAAGGTGCTCAGTATACAATGTTACCGCCAACATGCTCCCTTTACGACACGTACATCTGCTACAGCTGAGTGGCCAGGCCGATCTACCTCCCTCCCCCCTACTTCGGCGGCCTCAGAGGAGGAGGTGGAGGAGGAGGAAAAGGAGGAGGAGGAGGAGGAGGAGGAGGAGGAGGAGGAGAGGAGGAGAAGGAGTAGGAGGAGGCGGAGGAGGACCAGTGTAAACCCAGGACTCATCAACGATTTTGGAATACACCCTCCCTCCGAGCTCCTACACGGATTTAGTTCCACTGAAGGAAATGCCCCGTGAGGGCACCACATCACCAATCTCCGGACTTCAACGCCGCAAGTCTGACTGATGCGTCTTGACGATCTTGAACTGTGCCAGAATACCGTTCCTGGGACGTCATCACCGCGAATCAATGTACATATTGTGCCTTGACAATCCCGAATCGTTCCAAACCAGAAGTTCTGGTTTTCTCACCACGAGAATGAGTGACATTTTGTTGTGCGTCTTCGAAGCGAATGTGCGCGGCGCTCAGGCAGTAGTCGCACTTTTAAAACGAGCCGTCCTCAATCCAGGAAGGTATTGTAATGTCTAGGACGAATTTGAGGTGGCGCTAAGGAGGGAGCCACAGCTTGAAAAGGGGCCGTCCTCAATACGTGAAACTCGTGCGACGTTTTAGAACGAATGTGCGCGGCGTTAGGGCGAGAACCACATTTTGAACATGCGCCGCCCTCACTCCGTGAAGCTGTTGCAAATTCTTAAAGAGCGACTATGCGCGGCGCTGCGGCGAGAACCACATTATGAAAACGGCCCGCCTTCCATCCGTTAATCTCATGCAGTTGTTTAGAACGATTGTGCGCGACGCTAAGGCGACAACCGTATTTTGGAAACGACCCGCCCTCCATCTTTCAAACTGTTTCCCGTGTTTACGCTTGAGGCTCAAAGACGGTGCGGAAATCTCGGGCGAAAGGCTCCGACCGGCCTCGGGGTGCGACAGGGAGGATTGACTCATAAGGAAATCGCATGAGAAGGAGGGGGAGGGGGAGGAGAAGTATGAGGAGGAGGACGAGGATGAGGAGGAGGAGAAGGAGGAGAAAGAGGAGGGGGAGGAGGAGGAGGAGGAGGAGGAGGAGGAGGAGGAGGAGGAGGAGGAGGAGGAGGAGGAGGAGGAGGAGGAGTAGAGGAGGAGTAGAGGAGGAGTAGAGGAGGAGTAGAGGAGGAGGAGGAGGAGGAGGAGGAGGAGGAGAAAAAGGAGGAGGAGGAGGAGGAGGAGGAGGGGGAGGGGGGAGGGGGCAAGCTAGGTACGCTCGCGTCATGTCTGACGTCTTTACCATGGCGTAGGTCTCCTCCCTATTCACACAATCGCATGTCGTAGCAGAGCATAGCATTACATGGCATAGCATGGTGGCATGGTGTTGAAGATCAACGCGTATCCTTACATAGCATGACGCCAAAAACCAACGAATCGACACAGACTGTGTATTCACTTCCGATGGTTTTTTTTCGGGGGGGGGGCATCTTCTAGATGTTTGGGCCTATTTGGAAAGACCGAACCATGCCGTGGCATGGCGCTGGAAATAATGACGCCAGCGCTGCAGCGGGAGTACGATTCGGAACGGGCGGAAGCGCGGACATGAGGCCAGCGTTGCAGCGGGAGCACGATTCGGAGTGAGCGGTAGCCCAAACATGAAGCCAGCGCTTCAACGAGAGCAGACTTCAAACAGTTAGCCTGGCGATGGACCCAACCATATGCAGTTGTGAGCACCGTCGCTGTATGCACCGCATTCGGAGGAGCTCCCCATAGGGCCACGAAGCGTGTGAGGGGTGTGCCAAAGTTTGTCCGATCAGCGCATGCGAAAGCAGCCAATGGGGACGTCGGTGGGATTCCCTTTGGGGGCACGCAACGCGTGAGAGGTGTGCCGACAGGTGCGGTAGGCGCATGCGAACGTCGCCATTGGGGCCTCTCGTGGGGCTCCCATGAAACGTGTGATGGGTGTGCCGAAATGGATGCGGTGGGCGCATGCGAACGCAGCCACTGGCGCCTTCGGTGGAGCTCCCTATGGGGTCACGCAACGTGTGAGGGGTGTGTCGGAATGTGCGTGGGTGACGCATGCGGGCGCTGGCACTGGGGCCGAAACGTGTGAGAGGTGTGCCGAAATGGGTGTGCGTGACGCATGCGCGCGGTGGCACTGGGACCATTGGTGGAGCTCCCTATGGGGCCACGTAGCGTGTGACGGGTGTGTGCCGAAATGGGTGCATGCGGGCGGTGGCACTGGGGCCTTCCGTGGAGCTCCTTATGGGGCCCATGCAGCGTGTGAGGGGTGTGCCGAAATGGGTGTGCGTGACGCACGCGGGCGGGAGCACTGGGGCCTTCGGTGGAGCTCCCTATGGGGCCACGAAACGTGTGAGGGGTGTGCTGACATGGGTGTGCGTGACGCATGCGGGCGGTGGCACTGGGGCCTTCGGTGGAGCTCCCTATGGGGCCACGAAGCGTGTGAGCGGTGTGCCGACATGGGTGTGCGTGGCGCATGCGGGCGGTGGCACTGGGGCCATTTGGTGGAGCTCCTTATGGGGGCCACCAAACGTGTGAGGGGTGTGCCGACATGGGTGTGCGTGACGCATGCGGGCGGTGGCACTGGGGCCTTCGGCGGAGCTCCCTATGGGGCCACGAAACGTGTGAGGGGTGTGCCGACATGGGTGTGCGTGACTCATGCGGGCGCTGGCACTGGGGCCTTCGGTGGTGCTCCTTATGGGGCCACGAAACGTGTGAGGGGTGTGCCGACATGGGTGTGCGTGACGCATGCGTGAGGTGGCCTTGGGGCCTTCGGTGGAGCTCCTTGTGTGGCCACGAAACGTGTGAGGGGTGTGCTGACATGGGTGTGCGTGACGCATGCGGGCGGTGGCACTGGGGCCTTCGGTGGAGCTCCCTATGGGGCCACGCAACGCGTGAGGGGTGTGCCGAGATGGGTGCGCGTGACGCATGCGGGCGGTGATATTCGGGCCTTCGGTGGAGCTCCCTGTGGGGCCACGAAACGTGTGAGGGGTGTGCGGACATGGGTGTGCGTGACGCATGCGGGCGGTGGCACTGGGGCCTTCGGAGGAGCTCCTTATGGGGCCACGAAACGTGTGAGGGGTGTGCCGGAATGGGTGCGGGTGACGCATGCGGCCGGTGCATGGAGGAGGGGGGGAGGAAGGGAGGAAGGAAGGAAGGAAGGAGAGGAACGCGGGGACCGTCTTTTCAAGACGAGGACCCGACACCACAGGATGGTTGGGAAAAAAGCCAAGCGAAAATCCAACTCCCGGGAATCCGGTGTGTGAAAAGCCAGTGCGCGGAGGGGGGCCGAATATTTCCCGGACGTCACCAGGGGAGAATAGAGTAGTACTCATATGGTGCAATTGAAGAAGGAGGAGGATGAGGAGGAGGAGGATCATGAGGAGGAGGAGGATGATGAGGAGGAGGAGGAGGTGGAGCAGGAGGAGGAGGAGGAGGAGGAGGAGGAGAGAGAGGATGGGGAGGGGCGGGGTGAGGAGGCAGAAACGAGTACAAAGGATGATGAGGGATGGGGAGATTCGGACGGGTGATGGTGATCATGATGATGATGCGGATGATGATGCTGATGATGATGATAATGGTTATGATGATGCTGATGATGATGATGATGACGATGATGGTGACGTTGATGATGACGATGATGCTGCTGATGATGCTGCTGATGATGAGCATGCTGATAATACTGAGCATCATGCTGCTAGTGATGATGATGCTGATGATGGTAATGATGATGATGCTGATGATGATGACGATGATGACGATGCTGCTGCTGCTGCTGATGATGATGCTGATGATGATGATGATGATGATGATGATGATGATGATGATGATGATGATGAGGGTGAGGTTGATGATGATGATGATGCTGCTGCTGCTGCTGATGATGATGATGATGATGATGGTGATGATGATGATGATGATGCTAATGCTGATGCTGATGCTGATGCTGATAGTGATGCTGATGGTGGTGGTGGTGACGGTGGTGGTGATGATGAGGAGGAGGCAGGGGGGGAAGCGGCTGAGGAGGAGGATGAGAAGGAGAAGCAGGATAATGAGGAAGAGGAGGAATGAGGGAGGAGGGAGGTGAGGATGATGAGGAGGATCATGAGAAAGAGAAGCTGTGTGAAGAGGGCGTATCTGGTCACTTGATGGGCAAGGACTGAGCTGGAACATCGTTTGGTGAGGCAATGATCAAATCTGCTCAGGGCTTCCCTATCACAGTCGCTCTCCACCTCACCAGGACATTCGGAAACACTTTTTCGGATTCCCTCCTCTCAGTGCTATCCAGAGCGCATCGCGGCACCACGTCTGCACTTACAGAGGGGCGGGGGCCCTGTCAGGCATTTTTGCGCGAGGATTCTATTGATTTCGGCCCTCTCCGTGGCGCAGTTATGGGGCGCCCCGCGTAGAGTGCGACGCGCATGCGCTTGAAAGGCGAAACGGGAGAATCTGCTGAAGCGCGACTTGCCCAAGATGCTCATCACGGCTTGAGTCAACGAAAGCGTAATATGAGACCACCGCCCTTGTCAACTTTGATCGTAGAAAGAGCTGGCCGCGCACGCGTGGCCTGAGGGGAGATGGGCTGAAGCGAAGGACGAAGGGCTGACCCCATCTAATGTAACGCTATCCTGCAATTTAAGCGCTCCGGGCCAGTGCGCGCGACAGAGATCAGCGGGTTCCTCCAATGACAACATGCGGAATTATGCGGGAAGCAAGCGACGTGCAACGTGTAACCAGTCGAGAGAAGGGATGGGGAGGACGACACCAACGAACGATGATGATTAGGGTGGTGATGCTGATACGGATGGTGATGATGATGTTGATGATGATGCTGATTCGCAGTGTGATGGCGATGGCGATGATGATGATGATGCTGATGATGCGTATGATGATGATGACGACGATACTGATATTGCTGATGATGATGCGTATGATGATGATTATGACGATGATGATGATGCTGATGGTGATGCTGGTGATGCTAATGGACATGCTGATAATGATGATGCTGCTGATGATGATAATGAGGCTGATGTTGCTGATGCTGATGATGAGGATGATGATGCTGCCGCTGATGATGCTGAGGGATGATGTTGCATATGGTGATGCTGGCGATGATGATGCCTATGCTGAATCTGCTGACGATGTTGAGTGACGACGTCAACGACGACGATGCTGATGATAATGATGACGATGCTAATGAGCATGCTGATGATGCTGCTGATGATGATGATGATGGTGATGTTGAGGATGCTGATCATGAGGATGATGCTGCTGCCGCTGATGATGATGGTGATGATGATGGTGATGAGTATGCTGACGATGATGATTCCGATGGCGATACAGCTGACGATGTTGTTGCTGATGACCATGATTACGATGCGTGATCCGATGACGATGCAGACGGCAATGATGGCGATGATTATGCTGATGCTGATGCGGATGGCGATGACGATGACGATGAACACGACGATGGTGCTGCTGGTGATGATGATGATGATGCTGATGATGCTGATGCTGATGATGGTATGGTGCTGTTGATGAGGATGCTGATGATGATGACGCTGGTCATGACGATGATGATGATGCTGATGATGATGATGATAATGGTGATGGTGATGGTGATGATGATGCTGATGATGATGCTGATGATGCTGATGACGCTGATGATGATGATGATGCTGATGCCGTTGCTGGTCATGGTGATGATGATGATGCTGCTGGTGGAATGATGGTGCTGACGGATGTGATGGCAAGGATCATGACGATGATGATGTTGATGGTGGTGATGATGGTGATGCTGTTGATTCTGATGGTGCTGATGATGCTGATGCTTCTGATACTGATGATATGATGATGATGCGGATGATGGTGATGAGTTTGAGATGATGACCGTGATGATGGGGATGATGATGATGCTGATGATGATGACGATGATGATGATGATGGCGATGCTCATGATGATGACGATCGTGATGCTGATGCTGGTGCTGATGATGATGAGATGATGATGATAAGGATGTGGACGATGATGCGGATGATGGGGATGATGACCATGATGCTGCTGCTGATGTTGATGTTGATGTTGATGATGATGATGATGATGATGATGATGATGATGATGAGTTTGATGATGGTGATGGTGACGACGATTATGATGATGATGATGATGATCATGATGATGATGATGATGATGATGATGATGATGATGATGATGATGCTGATGATGATGATGATGATGATGATGATGATGATGATTCTGATGATGGTGATGTTGTTGATTCTTATCATGCTGATTCCCATTGTTTTGTAGTTTTCTTATCTTTTATCAATGATTTTAGTGCTACGATGCTCACCAGTATGATCACGATCATGGTCGCGATAGAATGGCGGTGATTTTGATGATGGTGGTAATGAGGAGGGGCTGGGACGAGGAGGAACAGGACGAGGGGATGAGGATGAGGATGGGAATGGGGACGCGGAGGAGAAGGAGGAAGAGGTGGAGGAGGAGGGAGGGAGGGGTTCCCTCAGGTCATCACGTTCGTGGACGACGACGCGAACACCGTCGACGTGATCTATCCCAGACCTGGCGGCGGGGAGGACGAGGATTCCAGCGGAGGGTGGTGGTCGGGGGCGGCGGCAACCAGTGCGGGGGGGGGGGCGGGCGACCAGCGCGGGAGAGGGGACTGGGCGATTGCAGCTCCTGCTTCTCGTCGTTGTCGTCTCTCCACTCCTCCCCCTCCTCCCTCTCCTTCCCCACTCCCTGCACCTCCTCCCCTCCCCCATCATCGTCCTCCTTTTCTCCCTCCTGCCCCCCCCTTCCTCGGCGAGGTGCGCCGACCCCATCTGCGCGGGCTTCAATTTCCCAAGGGTCCGATGCTTCTTTTCTTTTTTCAGTGCGGGACCCTCGGAAGTCCCGGCCCTTTTCCCGTCGCTGGCTCTGCATCCCGAGTCGTTCTTTGGCGGCCCTGGGGCCGGGCCCAGCCCGGACGGCCCGGCGAGGGCCCCCCCCGAGGCCGAAGACGACGAAAACTTCGGTGCCGAATTGTTCATTTCCCCCTCCCTCCCTTCTGCCCACCCTCCTCCTGGCAGGAGGAGGGCGTGGCGGCAAAGTTTGTGCACCAGCTGCTCCCCTTTGAGACCGACGTGGCCGCCCGGGCCGCGGAGCCCGCGGCCTTCGCCGAGAGCCTCTTCCGTGCGGCGGCGGCCGCCAAGGATCGGACTTACCTCTTCCTTCGAAGGCTTGGGGATCGAGGCTGCGTCGGGCGACGACATCTGTACATATCCACTGCTCCATGGCCAGGCCCATCCTGAACACAGGAAATGTGTATACGCCTCCCTGACCTAGCCAGGAGGACGTGGCGTATACACCGCTGCTGCGTTCAGGATGGGCCTGGCCAGGGAGCAGTGGATAGATATAGATATCCTCGCCCTATCACGGTCAGGAACGTTGGCGCAGTGAGTCGCGCCGCCAGTTCTGGCCCACCACGCTTCTTCGGCGCGGCACGCCATCCACGTTCCAGCCCCCGGGCGTCAACGGTCCGAGCCTTTCCTAGCCTCTCGCCCCGCGGAGCGGAGCGACAAGCTATCAGCTCGCATGGCATAGGGCACAGCGTGTCACCGGTGCCGCCGTCGCGACACGCTGAGCACAAGTTCTCAGCCATAGAGGAGAGGATCGAGTTTTTTTGTTATACATAGATATAGTTTGTTAGGAGTTTTCAGCCCTACTGCGCGCAGGCGCAATAACAACAAAACTCGGCCTGCCAGCAGTTACCCCCCCCGGAAGGCTCTTATCCCCCGGTGGCCCCAGGGGCCCACAGAAGCTCTCGGGCACTCTGGGATCCTCAAGCATCCACGAACAATGTGTTTCTCTAGATCTCTTGCAGCAAGGTTTCTCGTCGTATGCGTCTATTGTTGGCCTGCGGGGCACTCTGGAGCTCGTCGTCGTCGTCGTCGCTGCCGTTTCCGTTATTGTCGTCGTTCTCCGCCGCCGTCGTCATTGTTTCTCGCCTACCTCCTCCTTGCTTTTCCCTGTTCCTTCCTTCCTGGTTCCCCCCATCCGAGGGGCTCGATGTGTACGCACCGCGTCGTTCGGTCGGCCACTGGGCAGCCTCCCACTTTTGCAATGGAAGTCTGTGTATAGACGCCCCAACATCCCACAGCTTGGGAAGCGGGGGCGTCCGTACACCGACCTCTGTGGTCGATCAGACGACGTTGTGCATGCGTCAAAACCATCCCAGATCCTCCGCGAGAGCCGCATGACTGTTGCAGCCGCTTGTGGGGAGTGTTGAGCGTTGCCTCGCGGCTGTGCCAGATCTTGTGCCCGAGAATTCGACGAGCATTTAGGCGAGGCGATTGCCTTTTCGGGATACCCCTCTCCCCTTCCCTCGCCCTCCGCAATTAAGTAAGCCCATGAACCATACCAATTCAGCCGTACATTCCTCGATCTAGTCGAGAGCGTGGCCACACGAGCAGCGAACGTTGTGCGGTGGGCGGCAGGGCTGCGAGCTGGGGCACCACCGCAGGACATCGGCTGACGGTACCTGCTGCTGCTGCCGCCTTTCCCTGCTACAGTCGGGGCCCTGAAGAAGGAACCCTTTTCGTTGGGAAGGGGCTCCGCGGTCCTTGAGTGTTTCACAGCTTGCCTCAGGCTTTCCTTACGTTTTCGACAGGAAATCGAAGGTTAACTTATGGAAAAAAGGGGCCTCGTTCCTTATTTAGGGTTCCTTAGTTCAACGCCCCGACTGTATCGTGTTGTGGCTCCGCGCCGTCCTCGTGCCGTGCCGCCGTGCACTGTGCTGCTCCGTTCCAGTCCTTGGACCCCCTGCCCTGGTGCCTGGGCAGACTTTTCGGTGCAAGCTGCTACTCTGCCAGCAGCGTGCCGCATTTCTCTGACAGGCTTCAGGCTTCATCGGCCTCGTAATCCAGAATCCCTCCAATCCCTCCCTCCACCCCCTGCTCGTCCTTCTCCTCCTCCTCCTCTCCTCGTCCTCCTCCCTCCCTCCACCCCTTCCGCCCTTCTCGCCGTTCTCCTCCTCCCCCTCCCCCCCCCTTCACCCCTCCGTAGCCATTTTGGCTCAAGTGGGATACCTCCCCACTTGGGCCGAAATGGATTCCATTGCAATCTATCCCGAGGGCATCCGCCCCCAGCGTTTTGCCTGGCTCTTCCATAACCACTCGCGCCGCGCAGGCCCTGATGCGCTCGGATGCTGCGCGCTCAGGTGATCCCGTTGCTGCTGTTCGTGACCTGCGGCGGCTTCGTCATGCCCCACACGCGGTCGCCAGCCGCTCTTCATATCCGTCGTTGTCGTGCCTCTCAACGCGGCCTGCGTCGCTGTCGGGATGGTGAACTCGTCCATCTTCAGCTCGCTCTTCTTCTTCGCGATGATCGACGGGCACTACCAAACCCCCCTAGGCAGCTCATCCCCTTCGGCGTGTGCACGAGCGACGAGCTGTCGCAGGTTGCACGCTACATCCAGGTACTCCGCGAGCGAGCTGCGCCAGTTCTGCATCCTGCTGACGGCGAAGGCGCTGGTGCCGACCATCACGTTCCACGGGTTGGCGCGGGACCCCTTCCACCACCTGCTCATGATGCGCCGCTTCGCTGAGGTGCTGGAGCTGACCCGTTTGTACCTGCACCCGCTCTGCTACATGGCGCTGGGCCCCTTCCTCGGCTCGTCGCTGGCTCTCCTGATCTCGTCCTGCATGCTGCTGCCGCCGGTGGCTCCCGCCTGCGTGATGCTGGTGATGAGCCTGGCGATGGCCCACGTCCTCAGCCCGCTCTGCTACTTGCCGCTGGGCCACTTCCTCGGCTCGTCGCTGGCGCTCCTGTACTTAATGTGCATGCCGCTGCCGCTGGTGGTGGCCGTCATCGTGATGAACTTGTCCTGCATGCCGCTGCCGCTGGTGGCGCCCGTCGTCGTGATGCTGGTGATGCTCTCGCTGCTCTCCGTCCCCTTGTCCGTGAATGGCACCGTGTCGTTCGGCGACTGACACTACTCCAGAACAGGCCCTTCTTCCGCTGCTTCGGCGCGTGGCACGACTTCGTGTTCGACACCTCCTTGTCCTCGGACAGCGACCAGCCCAACGAGGATTCTTCGGAACTCGGAGTTGCTGCCGCTGGTGGCGAACAAGTGCACGACGTCGCTGCTGCGGGTGGCGATCCTCCTGCTGCCCGCTGTGTAGTGTGTAACCTGGATAGCCCCCCCGAGGGTGCGTGTGGGAGGGAGGGCGGTCCACGTTCCACCCATTCCAGGTCGCTTGAAACAGGTGCAACCCGCGTCGATCCTCTGGATCTTCCCGATGCTGCCGCCGAGCGTGGCCTGCATGAACCCGCTCGGCACGACCTCGCTCGCGATGCAGGCGACGTTCGTCTGGATGTACCTGACGCTGCTGCCGAAGGTGGCGACCATCGCTCTGCATCCTCTCGTGGCCTTCTGGCTGCTCCACCTCCTGCCGCTGACGGTGGCGTTCCACCACATGATTTCCCGTGTGTCCCTCCCGATGCCCATGACGACACCGCCGCCGACGACCACGAGTGGGGCATCCGTTGGGACTACGAGCGCAAGGGATGGGATGCTCGAGCCCACCTGCCTGACGTACTCCCGCAGGAAGGACACCTGCATGAAGAACACCTGCACGACGATCCTCACGGACACCTGCATAAAGTACACCTGCCTGAAGCTCACCTGCATGACAATCCTCATAAACACCCGCATGAAGTACACCTGCCTGCCGAACACTTTCACGGAAAACACCTGCCTGAAGTCGCTCGCCACGAACCTCCTGAAGACGATCGACATGACTGGGCGGTCCCTGGCGTCGGGTACCTGCGCCGATCCGCCCTTCTTCAAATCCGCTGCTGCTGTACGGCTCTTGCTGTTCTGGCAAATCGTCTGGTGGATCCCGAATGTCCCGAAGAAGCTTTGCATGATGCTGATCGAGCCGTCTCGCCGCCTGGTGTGGCTGACGCTGTACCCCGCGCTCAAGCTCGTCATGCCGCTGCCGCTGGTGGCGAACGACCCTGACAGGCCGTCCTCTCCACGCCCCCCGTCGGCGCGTTCGCGTCGTCGCTGAGTAGGCTGGAGGAGGCCGCCCATGAATGTAGCCCTGCTGTCGCGGCCAGCCGTGTGCCCCCCGACAGGTCCTCTCCACCCCGCTCTTCCCATTCGTCTTTGCCTCGCGTCTCTGCTTCCCCCACTCCCGAGTATCACGCACGTCCTACAATCCGCTCCCTGTGTCTGGCCCCATGCTCGTTGCAGCATTGGTGATGCCAGTGCGGCCGAGCGTCCATCCTCTAGTACAGGCAAACAGTCGTTCTAGCCGCTCGGCCCCGAGCTAGGACAGACGGGTTCGCCTCAAGGTACTTTCACTCCTCCCCCCTTCACCCCATGCACCATCTCTCCCCCTTTCACCCTCTACCACCCCCCACCACCCTCTTCCACTTCATGCGTACTCTCCACCACTCCACACCCTCCGGCCTCCTGTGAACAGCGCTTGGCTGGCGAGGAGCAAGGCAACCAGCTCTTCAAGCTCAAGGACTTCGAGGCTGCGCAGGAGCGCTACACAGCGGTGGCCGACGCTTTCTGCACCAGGCCCCTGAGCAGTGGTCAGCAGGTCCTCCTGGTGGCGAAGAGCGAAGGCAAGTCAGAGCTCAAGTGCCTCACCCTCATGTCGTATGACGCCGAGGGCGAGTGCGAGCTGAGCAACGGTGACACGGTCGAGGCAGCGTCTGTCATGCCCGTGTTCCAGGATTCTCGGCGCGCCCAAGGGGGAAGACAGAGGGGGCGGGCCGTCTCTGAATTCTCAAAAGTCCTTCAGCCTTCCGGGAAGCTTCCTAAGCCTTCTCCGAAACCGCAGAGCGCCTGCCAGAAGGCCAGAAGGCTCCCGAGAAGCCCCGCCGCCTTCCGAGGAGGCCCGCCCCCTCTCACGGCTCCCCTCGGCGCACCGCCGATAGGAGCTGCTCCCGCTGCAGACGTCCGTGTTCATGAACCGCGCCAGGTGCAGGCAGAACCTGGGCCTCCACCAGGGCGCGGCCCACGACCTGACGGTCGTGCTTGGCCTCTGGGCCTCGGCGGACAAGCGGATGCTCGAGTCGGACCCCGAGATGAAGGACCCGAGGCTGTGCCTCGTCCACGCTCACCGCCCGGGGATCCGATCCTCCCGGACCCCAGGGGGCGGTGGATGTGGACACACTTGTGCCTCGGGGGTCGGGCCCCGAGGACGAAGGAGTCGAACAAGCAATCGCTAGATGAACTTATCGGGCGAAGAGAACTATGCACGTGCACCGATCCTGACAACGTCCATCCTCGACCCAGGACCGGTGCATATACGTTCCTGGCCAAGGCAGGAGGGCGTGTGCACCGATCCTGGGCTCAGGACGGGCCTGGCCAGAATCGGTGTATGTGCACAGTTCTTTTTCCTCCGACATAAGCTTCTGGAGGTCCGCGCGGATTTCTGAAATCGGTGCTGGGCCCCCCCCTGCAGGCGCCTCCGACTCCGCCCTTGGCGCGCTCCGCGCGCCGGGAGGGGGGCCCGGCTCCGATCCAAGAGACTCGCGTGGAGCTCCGACAGGTTGTGCTTGTGCTGTCTCTTCTGTTCCTCGAAGGAGGCTTCAGCGAAGGGCTTGTACACAGCCGAGTATCTGCGGGGGCGTTCGCGTCTGGCCCTGGGCTTTGC